CCCCAAAACCCCAAAACCCCAAAACCCCAAAACCCCAAAAGTTTTAAAATAACTTGAATATAAAAAATTTCTCAAATCACGATATGTTTAAAAAGGCGAGCACTTTCAGGGAGACTCCGAAACATTGAATAATCGAACAGAACAAAGCTTACTGTGATACCCATCCTATCGAGCGAGCTACCTATTACTCTGAGAGACATGGAGAATACTGGTGCAAAGCTTGCTATGAGAAGCTTAATAATGATTCTTCTCCTGCAGAGTTTATAGATACTTGCATCAGTCAATATTACATCAAGTGGACCCAGCTTAAGGATCGCATTGAAGAGGTATGTTAGAACTTAATTTTTGAATTTTTATTGAATCTCATTTCCAACATCTAGATCTCTAAGAAATACCAAAAGGACATGAAGAGTTACAAGAAGTTTATCACATTTTTGAGCAAATAAGTTCGATAAAGAGTTTTTGTTCCCTGATATGGAGAAACGAATGCTGCAATTGTGGGACGAGAGCTTTGCTTTTATCAAAGCTTACTGTAAATAAGATGAAATTGAAGGAACTAATCAAAGCTGATAGTCAATATAAGGTCTTTAAGGATCGCCTAGATTTCTATGAAAACTCTTGAGATGTCACCCAGAGCATCTCCAACTATTTAAATAGTCCTGATGTCAAGAAACAAATGGAGGAGGAAGGCCCCTATATTTTCAAGGAGCTATCTTCCCAAGACCAGATGGTCTTGATCAAGCTCCAATATGAAGGTAAGATCAAGGAGCTTGAGGGAATTGTTGAAAAACAGAAAGAAGAATTGAGTTATTACAGGGAAAGAAGCGAAGACCATAGAGAAAGTAATAACTTTTCTTGCATTTTTAAGAACTTTCTGCCATTTTTGGGCTTATTAACTTTGAAATTTAGCTAAAATCATGGTTTTTGATAGCAATCTCACTGATGAAAACTTCAAGTCAACACAGGAGGAAGAGAAAGATGGTGGTAACCCATTTATGAAAAAGTTGTTCCACTCAAAATCTGCGAATAGAACTTTTGATAACTGAGAGATCAACTATCTCAAGAATTCCTTTTCAAAGAATGATGAAGAAAATGATCGCCACAATACTACGACAGAAGGTTTCCTGTAGATTATGAAAAGCTAAAAATTAAAATCAACAAAAAATTATTGAGATGGGGTTTTGGGGTTTTGGGGTTTTGGGGTTTTGGGG